GAGGAGGGGGGGGAGGAGGGAGGGGTTGTAAATATTAAGGCGTTGGCCGCCTGCACATCGCGTGAGATGAAGACGTTATGTGCACGGCTTGTTCCTTAAACCGAGTAAATCTCAGCCAAGATTATCTCGGGTCGCGCACATAACGCAACAGAATTGGCGAGAAAAAGTCATCAAAAACTCATTAGTCGACATGTGAACACGTAAGAATTGTTTTGCCAAAGAACAGCGATGATTCTCGTCTCATCAACAGCTGACAAATGCATTTTTTAAACTCATTAACTACACATTTTAAAGTACAGCTTAATTAAACATTTTGTCTTCTTTCAAAGATTATGTCAAAGTCTCGCTATTCATTACTTTGCAAATTAAAGGATAAAAAAGATAAAAACCTTTGGGAAAAAATGAGGAAAAACAAAAAATCCAAGACCACAAAATTGAAAAGGAAGCGATAAGAATCTCGTAACGCTGACCGGAAGTCAAAAATTTTTAATAAGGATTTTTTCAAGAGACTCTTTACTTTAAATACGAAGACTTGCAAACCTAAGAAAAAGATGTGCAAAACCACACGCTCTGCGCTACCCCAACAGTCCAAGATCATGATATCCTGCATGCTTGCTGCGTTGGTTGCTATTGGTAACGGTTTTTGTGTATCCTAAGGTCATGAATTCTTTCTGAGTGGAACTATATGATACGAGATTTAGTCGATAATGAATCTTTTTATTTGGGTTGAAAATAGAAAATTGTTTTCTGTTTGGGTTAATTTTTAATCCAGTCCTGAAGAATGTCTGCTGGGAATAACATATTTATACTTTCTAGAATATTTACTATTAAGAAGAAAGCACATATGATATAAGTGATTAAGTTAGTAATTAAATCAAGGTCGTTTGGCCTATTGTGCGTGGGAGGTTTTGGTGTTCGGCTCAACTCCAAAAATTTGCACGACGCATGCGCAGTTCATTTTAACTTGAGCTCGAGCTGCAGTTTTTGTCCTCTAGAAGAATCGTTTATCAAGGTTAATAACTGTGTTTTTTAAATGAAGTCTTGTGAAAACGAATGAAGGTTTGTTATAGCCTCAATTTATCAAGATAAAGTAGGGGTTGGTTATAACGTGTACCAACCAAACTACAGCTGCTTCTTACAGGATATGATTAAAACACTTCTATTTGCGCGCGCACAGTTCTTTCCTCAGAGATCATTGAAATACACACGTATTTTATAAAGCCTATTACTTGCTGACTAAGCCAGGACTCAGCAAATAACTCATAATACACATATTGACAATATACCCCGTGCAGCACGTCGGAATGCAGCTCAAGTTGGAGGACATAACAATAGGTTTCCAATTCTCAGGAGATTGAAATTCTTTTGTTTTGTCCTCCAAATCGAGCTGCTTTGACGTCACATGGAAGGGTTTTATTAGTTTCAGATTACCCGACTCGTGTCTACTTGTTAGAAAAACTCGAAGTAGAACTCAAGAAGCTGTACTTAGGTTTAGGCCTCTTGCTCTTGTGTAATCATGCGTCTTTCCATTAATGTTGTACGGCTTCACTTGGAAAACAAAACGAGAAAAATCCGGCGAAAAATGAAAAAGAAAAAGTGCGTAATGATGAGTGAAAAAAAAATTTGGAATAAAGTCAAGGAAATAAAAAAAAAAAACACTGAGATAAAAAACTTGTTTTTCCAAGATATAGAAAGCTACATGTAACTCTAGACTACAATAATTCGTAGCTCAATTCTTGAAATACTTATAAGAAAGTTTGCTTGTTTTTTTTTCTCTCTTGATTTTCAGTTTATGTTATCATTCCTCAAGCGTCCCTTCACAATAGAGGACCAAGGTTACAAGATCTAAATATTATGATTACAGCTACAAGTCGAGTGACAAGGCGAGCTGACACATAACTAAGGAAAATTCCATTCTATATAAAGACAAATTTAACTTGAAAGCAATTTTGAATGCTCTTTTATGCGGTCCATATTAATTCTGTGTGCAACTCTATCAAGGTTTGTTCATCAAAGGAGATTTCTTAGACCAAAGATATCGTTAAATATCGATTGTTATCAAAAAGGAAAGAACGTAGTTAAAATATTTACATTCCTTGTCTTGCACTAATTCCACAATGCAAATATTAGTTAAGTCAACTGCAAAGTACGAGCAATTTCGTGTGATGAATGTAGAAAAGAGGTAGGTGTAAAACATCCACAAAACTGCATAAAAATCAATAAAGATTCAATATAATTTCAACTTTTAAAAAACATCCCGAAAGACGTC